ATCTAAATTGGCAATAGAAACTGGCGGAGACTGGGTGACCCTCCTCCCCTTTGCGCTATACCGGGCTAGGAACACCCCGTATACTCTAAATCTGACCCCATTTGAAATAATGTATGGGACGCCACCCCCTATTATTTCCAGCCTGGAAAAATGTCCCAGTGACTTGTCAAACGATTTAATCTTGGAAATGAAGACTCTCCAAGTAATTCAAAGGGAATTATGGCCCAAACTTCAGGCCATATATGAAGGTCCTCTTAGTGAGCAGGGGATTGTCCATGAGTTTGAGCCAGGGGATTGGGTATGGGTAAAAAGACACCAGAAAAAGACACTGCAATCAAAATGGAGGGGACCTTATGTTGTCATTCTTGTGACCCCCACTGCTGTTAAGGTAGACAGAGTCAGCGCCTGGATACACGACTCCCATATCAGGAGAGCCAACCAGACGGAACAGCTGTCTGCATGAGCAAATTGGAAGGCATACTCTGATCCTGAAAACCCATGGGAAGTCAAGTTAACGCAGCACCATGGAGATTAGAGTCCTTCTCACCCCCACCCTAAGCTTCTACCACCTCGCAATAAGTATTGCGGCTCACTGACCCTATAAAGTTACATGGCGAATCCGCAACGGACTAGCCCATGAGACTTTGAACTCCACCACCCATACCATCCCCCTTAATGTCTGGTGGCCTGATTTATTTTTCTCTCTAGTGACACTTACTGGCTGTTCTTGGGATGAAGGTTTTATCCGTAAGATGGGTTTTTTTGCATGCCCTGGGTACAAGATAAATGTTCAGCAATGCAGGGGGCTCAATTGGTATTACTGCAAAAATTGGAGTTGCGTGACTTCTAATGATGGGGAATGGAAGTGGCATGTAAAAACCCAGGACTATGTAACATTCTCCTTTGCCGAGCCCAGGTATGCTTTTGCGTTATGAAAGCGTAAGAAATGTGATTGGATAAAAGCCTCATTCACTGAACAAGGAAAGAAAGAATTAGCTAAGTGGAAATCTGGGCTTACTTGGTGTCTCCAAATTTGGTATAGGGGATATCCCTCTGGGGTGATAACCATTGTACAGGAAATAGAACCCTTAGATACCGGGTCAGTGGGTCCAAATGAAGTGTTAAACCCCCAGGAAAAAGAAACCTTATCCCCTACAAGGGAGTCGGTGAAAGAACCGAGCACTGTAACGCCTGATGTTACAGACCCTCTTTGGGATTTAATGCTAGCAGCCTACCAAACACTTAACCATACTAGTCCTAATTTGACTCAGGCCTGCTGGCTCTGTTACAATGCAAAGCCTCCGTTTTATGAAGCAGTAGGCATTAACACCTCTTTCAGCTATTCTCATGACCTGAACCCAAAGAATTGCTCTTGGAAAGACCGTAAGGTAGGGATTACTATACAACGTGTAACGGGAAAGGGCTTATGTGTAGGGAAGCCCCCCAACTCCCAAGAACGTTGTACCTCA